AAATAAAACATGCAATTGTGTTCTTTTCTGGAACATGGTGTGTGTGTGTGTGTGTGTGTGTCTGTGTGTGTAATGGCTCATGACCCTGGGTACTGTCCCTAGATGCTTGGTATATGAGAACATGTCTAGTCCGCTCTGTAGAGGCAGAGTTTATGATCTGGCCCCTCCAGTATCATATCAGCATTCTTTACTAGCTATGTGTATCAGTAATGGTTACGTTATCTCTTTAAAAATTAATTTTTTTGAGTAGGTAAATGCATGTTACACAACTCAAAAGGTTCAAAAGGGTGTTTAATGAAAAGTGACTTGCCGTCTCCTTTTCCCCGGCCATGTAGCTCTTGCGAGAAGCACAACTGACAGCAGTTTCTTAAGTATCCTCATAAATACATTAAAATTTTAATGTGCGATCGGGTATCCTCTCCCTTAAGAAACAGTAAGCTATCCAAGGGCGATGTCTGAGTGTTCTTTCTCTGTCCTACCTTCTATATCCACAGGGCTCTCCCCATGTGTTAATAAACCCATTGACTCATCAAATCATCTGTTTCACTTATTCTTATTCCCTTTGCTGTTGAGAAACAGGAATGACTTGAAGCTAAAAATGCTATGAGAGTATTGAAGTAGCATCCACTCACCACTGCTGACTCAGGTTCAAAGCACAGAGGCAGGTGTGCCCGACTCTAAGTTAGGCCTGGATGGGAATGGCAGTCTCTGGGCCTTTAACCTCGTGTGCCTTTCGTGAGACTTCTTGGGCTTATCAGGAGTGGAGGGCTAAGACATGGGATATGGAGGACTCCAAGTCTGCACGTGCGTGTGGCTCACAGACATGCTCACTAGCTGGCCACCTCGGCTGCCATGGCCACCAGGAGCACAGGCTCCTCTGACTTCCCTCCGAAGGCTTCGCCAACACTTTTCACANAAGCTAAAAATGCTATGAGAGTATTGAAGTAGCATCCACTCACCACTGCTGACTCAGGTTCGAAGCACAGAGGCAGGTGTGCCCGACTCTAAGTTAGGCCTGGATGGGAATGGCAGTCTCTGGGCCTTTAACCTCGTGTGTCTTTCGTGAGACTTCTTGGGCTTATCAGGAGTGGAGGGCTAAGAAATGGGATATGGAGGACTCCAAGTCTGCATGTGCGTGTGGCTCACAGACATGCTCACTAGCTGGCCACCTCGGCTGCCACGGCCACCAGGAGCACAGGCTCCTCTGACTTCCCTCCGAAGGCTTCGCCAACACTTTTCACATGGCAGTTGACTCTGTTCTTTGGAATACCCAAAGCACAAATCACCATTTCCTGTAAGTGATCAGAGTTGGTCACAGGCTCCCAGAGGGTGACACAGAGCTCACACGGTAAGAGGTTTGTTCACTGAAAAAAAATTTCTTATTATTTCCTCCATTGCCCAGAATAAAAATATCTTTATCTATTTTGGGGGAGAGACTAGAAGAATTTATTTCTTTATCTATTTGGGGGAGAGGCTGGAGAAAATGCTACAAACGCCTGCAAAGCCTCAGTGGAAGGAATACATTGGTATTGCTTTTTAAAATTCATGAATGATAGATCTCATTACACAGTGTGGCTGAGATGACCACACTGAGCTCCTCATGCTCTGCTCAGCAGCCCCACAGAGGGCCCTGCACAGGGTCGCCCACGACTCCTCCCTCTTAGATATTAGCATGAATACCTTATAAAAGTGAGTTGGCAGAGGGAGCTCCGCACCATCCAGCAGGAAAGAATAAAAGTGATCCTGAGTCAGGCGGGCAGGACTGCTCAGAAGTTCATGCGACATGAAGATAAACGTGAGGCCGCGCTGTCCGGGAGGGGCTGGAGGAAGCTGGTAATGACCGCACTGCTGCAGGTGGGAACTGGCGAGGCAGCAGGGTGGGAGGAGGTTTAAAGAAAGGCGACGCCCATTCTTCGTATGATATCTATGTTTCTGCTCAGGAGAGGACCCGCGTTTAACTCAGACACCAGTCAGGAAATAATTTTTCTTGGGCAGAAGATGGCCAGCACAGAATGCTAGAAGCAGCTTGCACTTGGAATAGAGACGTAGAAAGTAGAGCCAGAGGGTGGCTGGGTGAGAGGTCACGGGAACAGCCTTGCGGTGAGTGACCAGGAAGCACCTCTGTGATGAGAAGACTTGGTATCTGTGGACACTGAGAATAATCCGTAGTAGGAGAAGGGCCCGGGATGAAAAACATGATGTCCACAGAGCTGCTGGTGCGGGGGGATGGCAGTTAAAAAAGATACCAGAAATACAGAAATATCATATAAGGACCATCTTTTGTTACAATTGGCTCACCAAATCTTGGATGAGGAATGAATTGAAAGTTAATATTAAACACCACTGCATGTAATTTCTATTTTATTCTCTATAATTACATTTAGGTTATATAAAATTTTAAATGATTTCTGAAGGTTCATGAATACATAACTAATTCTTGATGCATTTCTGAGGAAAAAAAGAGTGCTTTCATAAATTGATATCAA